TTTTCATAAACAATATCGATATGTCAATACATAAAAACTTGGATGACAAAGTTGCCTTCTTTTAGAGTGCACAATAACAAACTCAACTCTGGACCTTTTGTGCGAGTATTGGTGTATGACCAGTAATTTGAACTCTTATGTATGTATCTAGGTAAATGCATCATTTGTAGTTCTCTTCTAATGCACAGAGAAGTACAATTTATTTGTAAATAGTGTGCGAGATGGATGGAACTGTAGCAGGCAGTCGGTATTTAGACGTACTTCCAATTTGTCAATTGATTTGAAGGCAACAGTTCAAACGTCGGCTATGCAATACATTGAATACATTTTTATTTTTAATATATTTGTAATAGAAGCTGATATACACACAAATGATTTTAATATTTGCTGGAAATCTTCATAAATTATTAGGTTATTTTTCCACGTCAGTTAGCGACATGGCGTAGCCAACACGGTGTTTTTTTAGTGTTTTTTAAAAAAGTTAAGGATTTCATCATACAACGTTGTATTTATACAGAGCTTTGGCCCTCGGCACTCTCTGTATCAAACCTTGTAGAAACTGTACCAGGCATTGCTGACTGCTGACTCTTCATTATTCCCGTACGAAAACCAGTAGTACCTACAATAGTCTGTGGCGCGGAATTTGCTACACAGGCAGCCGGTAAAGTTATCATATTCTTGTATGGACCACGATGTAAGGTAGTCAGATAAGTCAAAACGTGGAACACGATTCCCCAACCTAATACAACGAGCAAGTTTTGATACGGCTCTAATAACTCCAAACTGTATAGTACAATCACTTCCGAGGTCGACAGACAGATTGTTGGCGTACAGGTTGCTACTGCCTCGGAGTTCGTCCCAAAGTAACCACCACCTTGTACAAGGCTACCTCTAAATTAGGTTAGTGCCATACCGTTGAATGCGAATAGAGTATAGTTCAAGTGCGCAAGAACGCGCATCACGACGTTCATCTCATCAAGCAGAATCAAGTATTCTGTGAGTAGCATCTGCGTCAAAAATACGATCGGGGTAATCAGAGAAGTAATCCGTCCGTGGTTGCAAGCCACAGCTATGAATGTCCCTACCCCGTATGATGCGTATCTTTACGGTGCAGTCCATTGACAAGAATATCCCCTTCGATAATTCCTTGCATCTTTCCAGCCAGCGTATTCAGAAGAGTTGTCTTTCCCGCTCCAGAACTACCCATCAATGCAATCATTTCCCCATGATCCACTCTTGCACTGATATTTTGCAGTATGTTTTTGCTTCCATCAGACGTTGAAACTGATACGTTTTTCCAGCTTAGACAGGGATGAATAGCAGTGCTTACCCCGACCATGATTGTTTCTGGTACCTTGCAGTTCGCGTATACGCAAGCTAGTGACCTAACCTGTGAGATGATGATTAGTGATTACTTCTGTGCATGCGAATGGCTTCTGGTTTCATCACAATGAGTTTAAAATGCGGGGCTAATGTACAATGTTCTCTTTAACTGCGATTTAGTTCTGAGAGTTCTTGATGTTTATATGTATATGTCCTTGTTCCTCGCTTTTGACTTGCAAATGAGTGCCATATAAATCTCCCGCCGAACTTTAAACCGGTGACAATTATGTAGTAAGAGACTATCGCAGTTGCGAAACCTAGGTGTACACACAATATGATCATGTGCCAGAGTAAAACCTGCTACCACACAGTCAGTCACACACAGCATCACAAATATATAGTTACATATCGGGCGACTGCGCTTATCTGAGTCAAGGGCCAGTCTTAATTGTTTTGTCACATTTTATTGCAATAGTGGGTGGGCTAAACCCTACATAGCACTGTGATTGTTATATGTAGCAGGCGGCTATAGCAGTCAGCAGATCTCAGCGGAATGCCGGGTTCGAGCCAGCGACCAATAGATTTCCAATATACTACGCTAATATAGTAATAAGTAGTATTTCGGAAATCAGTTCTTGAGGCGGTATGAAAACTGAAATGTACTCAGAGTCTCAGATGCTGAGATGATAAGATGAAATTCTGAATCAATGAATAAAAAACAAAAACAAACTGTTTTTATTCCTTTTTTCATCTTTTTTTTGTAGTTTTTTTCTTTGGTTTTTTTAAAACAAAAATACTTCTTTTGTTTATTTTATTTTTTTCAACCCCTATTTACATTCTTTATTTTTTATTCAACAATATTATTATATCGGTTGACGACCACGGTCATACTCCGCGATGGTGTAATGACAATTCGTTGGATCCGATTGGCTGTACTACTTTTTCATTACATAACTTTGCAACTACCTTAACAAATTGATTCAAATTGCAAAGGTGTTTTGACTCCAAGAATGTATTTTTCAGCTTTCATCAGTTCATAAGTCATACAATAGGTAGTACAAATGTCGCGTTTTGTACAACCCTGTTTGACCTTTTGAAATCCTTGAAATTCCATTGGCGTAAATCTCGCGCAAAAAATACCACTTTTCGCAAAGGTCGTATGCACATTTAACACCGTGTGAAGCTGCAAGATAGTAAAAACAACCCAAAAAAAAAACACGCTATGTGCTTTTACTGTTCATAAGTATAGCATACTAGTTCACATAAAGATGGTGCAGGCTAAGGTTATGGCAGAATATGTCAAGAATATGATACGCTTTTTGGAGTATTGGAGGCCAGAAAAAAACTGGAACGAAGAGTATCCAGACACGCAAATGATACCATATTCTGAGTTAATAGACATCTTGCCATCAGATGTTTGTGACTACTTCAATAAGTTGGCCTATGGGACGGAAGATCCAGGACCAGAAGAATTCTCTACACAACGTAGGAAAGCTAGCTTAGAGTTTTTGATATCTAAGTATATGCCACGTAAACGCTTGGAGTGGGATCCAGTGGAAATGAAAGGGAATCCAACTCGTTCTGGAGAGGTAAATGACTTGCTCAAAGCGATCGAACGTTTTGAGACAAGAGGTGAAGGAAAAGCGGACTTATCCAAACGACCTTTAGAGTTCAATGAAATTATGTCTATTCTAACTATCAACCTCGAAACTACTGCTTTCCAGAATAGCGGGCTACATGGTTTATGATGCGACGAATATCACATACATTAATCTAAAATACAACGAAAACCATCCTGATGAGGTTTTTCTTGAGATAACTAGGAGCAAAAACATTGCTAAGAAATCTCAGGTGAGTAGACAAGTTGTGCTTGGATCTCTAGACCCATATCTTTGTGCACTATCAGCACTCACCGCACATATCATTGATCGACTTCGTGGTCGCTCAACATTTAGCAACTTAGATCTCGGATATATGTTCACATCCACTGGATCGACTGGGCGAGACGAGAAATTAAGAACCGATGTGTCACGCAGTAAAATCAAAAATATTATCTCTGCCAAAGGAGAGATAAGTAAACTTGGTACGCATAGTATGCGTGAATGTGTAATAAGCCGGGCATCCACATTAGACTCTATGTTATAAACGTACTCTTAAGCAATTCGTAAATTATAAACGTACTCTTAATAGTACGAGGAACTTAAGTTTCCTAAATGTACTCTTAATAGTACGAGGAACTTAAGTCTCCTAAATGTGCTCATAATAGCACGAGGAACTTAAGTTTCCTAAATGTACTCTTAATAGTACGAGGAACTTAAGTCTCCTAAATGTGCTCTTAATAGCACGAGGAACTTAAGTTTCCTAAAATGGTTTTTAATGGTTATATTAATTAAACCTTTTCCATTTAACATATCAGATATTTGGATGAGGCCATTAAAAGGCCTCAGTAAAATACCAAACGTAAAAGAGTTGGTCTAGTTCTATTAATAGAGCTTTATTTACTTTCCAATTTTATTTATATCTGAATACTTCGGTAGCGAGATGGCTCAACCGAATATAGGTTTCTGGGGACTGTTAACGTTACCTAGTTGATCCACCGATCAGCCAACCAGGTGTGCCAGTCTGATGAAGGCTAAGTCAGTAATTCTTGATAGTGGCAAGTTATTGGTTAAGACAATAACTAAGGACATCAAGAGTATTTTTCTTTTTTTACATTTCTTTTTTCTAAAGATAGGATTTTATGAGTCTCTCGGATTCGCCAAAATGAAACATATCATAGTTTCTAATAGAGCGACAACGAAACAATATATAAAATCCCTTCGGCGGAAACAGTACTGAGAGGATTATATGTAGGCAATGTCTCAGCATCCCTCAGAGTATTGCTGTTTTCACGAGGCATACCTAACTTTACTAAAAGTCTCATTTCGTTTATTTACTTTGATATTTTCACGATACTTAGAATTTACCTACGCGATTATTTACTCCCAGGCGTTAATATCGACTTAATAGACCTAATCTTACACACTTTAAAGTTAGCAAAGGTATTAATTACTTAGACTACTAAAGCGTCAAGGTAGATTAACTACCACAAATATTTTCTTGTACAAGCTAGTCCTTAAGAGATCAGCTAGCAATCATAAGTTAAGATTATGACCAAGAAAGACGATACTCCTTCTAAGAAGCGTAGAGCTGAAAAGAAGAAGATGGAGAAAGAAACCGCTGCCGCTGCTGATGCGTTTAATCGCACTGTAGTCGAAGCACTTGCCTCCGACAAAAATAGTCACCAGGATAATGCTTCAGATAAGGATGTAGCCACTCCGATTAAGGAGACTACTCCCACTGACAGAGCCCGAGGGCCAACAATTGCCTCAACTTCAAAGCTTTCATTTACGAAGCCAAGAAGTGAGACAGGGGACACGTCTCAAGACGCCCCAACCCATTCTTCTGACGAAACTCAGAAAGAAAAGTTACCAATTACAAGGGAGTCCCCAATTATAGGGGACAAGGACAAATCTCAGAAGGAACCTATAATGGAACTAGAAGAGGAGGCAAGCTCAAGTGGCAAACCCGAATCTACGTCCGAGACTACTAAGCTAACGCGCATAAAGAGGCTAATTACTGAAAACACTGATCTTAAGAATCAGTTAACTACCCTTATGAAAGACTTGAATGTTGAACATGTGGATCGATTGTATAGATCAGGAAAACATACACAGCACTTACGCGAGCATGTTTCTCCCGGCATTACTGAAGCCCTACCGAAGTGGACAGAACGTCGACAGGCAATTCCGCCCGAAGAACGTAAAGACTCAAGCGCTACATCTTAGGCATATGAGCCAGAAGTGCTCAGTGTAGAAATACGGCCTCC